GTTCCTCATGTTGTGGTGACCCCAACCAAAAAATTATTTTCGTTGCTACTTCATAACTGTAATTTTGCTACTATTATGAATCATAATGTAAATATCTGATATGCAGGATGTATTTTCATTGTTACAAATTGAACATAATTAAAGCATAGTGATTAATCACAAAAACAATATGTAATTATATATGTGTTTTCCGATGGTCTTAGGTGACCCCTGTGAAAGGGTTGTTCGACCCCAAAGGGGTTGCGACCCACAGGTTGAGAACCGCTGCTTTAAAGATTGGTTGACTAGAGCTGGAGCAGTGCTCAGTTTGGGCTATTTACTCCACACTACTGAGGCAAGACCCTTCCCTATACTTTACCAAATGTCTTATGAAACTTGAGATTTTTCCAATCTGCCTAGTGGAGCAGACACTGTTCTCGGTCCTGGATGAGCATTGGGCACTATTACTTCAAATTCTTCTGGATGGTTTAACAGCTCCAACCTCCAGTAGCATACATAGGCTGACCAGAACTCTGCTGAATACTCAAAGGGAACCATCTTCAGATCTCTGGTGTTTTGTGGCTGAGTAGCTCTCTCCTTTTAGGTAATCCATCGTACAATGTCTGTTTATCTTGATCTTCTAAGTTAGGCTATCAGTTCTATCTTCTCAACTGAGGGAGCCTGTTGGGTTTTTTTCTGAGTTTCCCCTTCCTGCACTATAGCTTCAAAACTCCCCCAAGACAGTAACCTCAGGAAATTATAAAACAAAACCAATTTGTTTCTTATCTCATAGCTATCACTATCCCTTGATATATGATATCTAGGACCTTAAAAACCATTATTTCCTATATTTTGTTCATTTCTTAGTTGGTTCAGGTGGGAGGGTAAATATAGTTCCTGTATTTTATCTTGGCTGAAAGTGAAGACTTACTTTCTCAATAAGTTTTTAATTTCAATTATAAACCTGAATATCTACTAATTATCAAATATTGCTGAGTTTTTACCCTCCTTCATCTGTCCTAATTTCTTGATCAATTTAATATTTGCTTCTTAAACATTTTAAATGTTCTAATTTTATACTCTAAATCCAATAAATTGTTTTATGTTGCTGAAGTGCCAATTCCCTTTTAGCTATTCCAATTGACTTTGCTTTATGGTAGCTTCTTTTCTATGTGTTCTTTTTATTTATTAAGAAGTTTTAGACACAGAAAAAAAGGAGCAGCAGATACAGAGAGTTCCCATATACTTCCTCCCTGACCCCCACCCCAACAGTTTCCCCTGTTATTAACTTGGTAAATTAGTGAGGTGCATTTGTTATAATTTATTAAAACAATGTTGAATCATTACTTACTAAAGTCCCTGAACCCTAGTTTACATCAGGGTTCATTCACTCTTTGTGATATGCAGTTCTATGGGTTTTGATAAATGTATAAGGTCATGTATCTACCATTACAGTATTACAAAAAATAGTTCTACTGTTTCAGAAATCCTCTGTGCTCCACCTATTCACCTCTCCCTTTCTCTCTTCCCCTTGAACCTCGGACCATGACTAATCTTTCTACTGTCTCTATGCTTTTGTCTTTTCCAGAATGTTCTATAGTTGGAATCATATGGTATATAGCCTTTTCGGACTCCTTTCTTTCACTTACAGTATATTTTTAAGGTTTTCCCATGTCTTTTTATGGCTTGATAACTCATTTCTTTTTATTGCTGAATAATCCTCCTTGTATGAATGTATCACAGTTTGTTTACCCATCTTAGTTGCTTGCAAGTTGTGGCAATTATGAACAAAGCTGCAATGAAAATCCATGTGCACATTTTTGTGTACACATTAAGTTTTCAATTTATTGGGTAAATACCTAGAAGTACAATTGCTGGATCACATGGCAAGACTATGTTTAGTTTTGTAAGAAACTGTCAAGCTGTCTCCCAAAGTGGCTGTACCATTTTGTATTTCCACCAACAAAGAATGAGAGTTCGTACTGCTCCACATCTTCATCAGCCTTTGAAACTGAAGCGTTTGGATTTTCACCAATGTAATAGGTGTGTAGCGATATCTCATTGTTGTTTTAATTTGCATTTCCCTAATGATGATGATATCAAACATCTCTTCATAGCTTATTTGACATATAGTTGTTTTGTTAATTCCCACCCATGGATATTTTTTCCATTGATTTTTAAAGAGAGCAGAAGGGAAGGAGAGAGAGGGAGCATGAGAGAGAGAGAGAGAGAGAGAGAGAGAGAGAGATAGAGAGAGAAAGAGAGAGAGAAAGTAATGTGAGAGAGACACAATGATTGGTTGCCTCCCACATGTGCCTGGACCAGGGCCAGGTATTGAACCTGTAATCCAGGTATGTGCCCTTGACTGGGAATTGAAACTACGACCCTTTGGTGCATAGACTGATGGTCTACCATATAGCAACACTGGCCAGGACTATATATTTTGTTTGGTGAAGTGTCTGTTCAGGTCTTTTGCCAATTTTTAATTGCATCGGTTATTTTCTTACAGGTGAGTTTTAACTGTTCTTTGTATATATTAGATAAAAATACTAATATTTTATTAAAACTTGATGCTTTATCTCTGGGGTTAAAATGTGAGGTCTAGGCTGAACATGCATCACTATTGACTGGAGTTGTGTTTGCTTCTGTTATGCTCTATGGCAGTGGTTCTCAACCTTCCTAATGCTGTGACCCTTTAATACAGTTCCTCATGTTGTGGTGACCCCCAACCATAAAATTATTTTTGTTGCTACTTCATAGCTGTAATTTTGCTACTGTTATGAATCGTAATGTAAATATCTGATATGCAGGATGTATTTTCATTGTTACAAATTGAACATAATTAAAGCATAGTGATCAATCACAAAAACAATATGTAATTATATATGTGTTTTCCGATGGTCTTAGGCGACCCCTGTGAAAGGGTTGTTCGACCCCAAAGGGGTCGCGACCCACAGGTTGAGAACCGCTGCTCTATGGGCACTATCAAGCCCTAAACACTTAATGTTTTAGCTTGATGTTATCTAGATATCTCTGCTGTAGAAAATTCAAATTCTAAATTCAAATAAGGGCAATCTGTGATTGCAGGTTTTTGGGGTAAACTCTTTCCCCTCTCCTGAGCTGAGGCTGACCCTGGTAAATAAATATCCCTGTCATTTCCCTGCTGCAGCAGATGAACTTCTTGATCCAGCCTTTCACTAGGGATGCAGCTCTTCAAGACCTTCAGCTTTATTCTGGGATATCAAGTCCAATGTTTCATCTTGCTCAGGCTCAAGGCCTTGTTTCCTGAGCCCGTTGAGTTATTAAACCTAAACCTGTGAGTGAAGTAAGTCAGTGAGTTTTACTAGGACAACTGCAGCCTCATGTTCAATTTGAGTTACCACTTTTATTTTCAAAACCCTCTTTGTTTTTTGTCTCTGGGGATTTCTCCAACTTCATCAGGAGCTCAGCTATGAAATTTAAAATCTAATTTTACTGTTTATCCTTCATTTCTAGATGTTTATTGAAATTTTTTATGTCTAATTCATACATTGCCAAACACAGAAGGTCAATTGGGTTTAACAGCATGCTTTCAACTTATTTTTCACAAAGCAAACAGCCTATACAAATATCTTCTGGTTGTTTTCAAAAAGGAATTGATTGGATTCCATTAGAAGCAATAATTTTTTCTTCTTAATCTCTCCTAAGGGTAGAACCTACATCTGCTTTCTCTTGATATAACGCCACAATTCTGACACAGAGTAGGCATTCAATAAAGGTTGGTTGAGTAAATTTTTTTTAATTGGATGATAAAATCTATGAGTGATGTGGCTGATTCTTGATATAGCAAAGCCTAATCGACCATATAACAAAGTTCACTTCTAAGCCAAGAGGTTGGATTTTCACTAATAATTAAAAATCCAGCCTTCAAATACAGCTGGGCATTTCTATTTGGGGAAGAACTTGAGAGGTGCCAGAACAATGTTACATATTCATTCTCTGGGAAGGTTTGGTATACAACGACCATACAGGTGTTTCCTGTTGGGACTCTAAGTTCCCATACAAGAACTCAGAGGACAGCTGAGAAGAAAACTTAGCCCACTTAATTACATTTGCCCACTGTGCTGCATAGAAAGTCATTGACCAAAAATAACATGTTTAAGTAATGTTCAAGTTGAGATACAAACCAGCAACAGTCAGGAAATTCAAAATTAAATCTGATCTCCACCCTTCACTTGCCTCATTGTGCCCAGGCAGAACCAAGGTCAGAAATTAACCGGAGGCACTGCAAAACACAGCCTGCAAAATTTCAGCTCAGTGAGGTCATGAGGAAAACTTCGTTAAAGCCGTATTAGAGCAGTTTACAGGAGCACATTACTGTGAATATGAAATTAGAGTTTTGCCTTGATGGATGTGTCACCTACACAAGGTAATTTGTTGGGAATAATTTGAAAATGCAAGTGAACATAATTAAGCTTCTGTTTTATTGGAGTCTGGTCATTTGTCTCTAGGTGCACCTGTCTCTGTAGATCTGACATTGCAAATGCCCCTAGACTATAATGAGACACATTTCAGCCACTCGATTTTCAGTTAATATTGGGGTACCTGTGAATTAAAAGAGGATCTTAGAATTAATTTTAAAAGTTGCAGTTACTATTTTTGTCCATATTTTTTATTCTGCAAAACTGTAAGTGTGAAATAAAATCTTTAGGCTAATATCAGCATGGAAGTCAGTTGCGTACTGCAGTACATCCCATACCACCGTACAGGCCTTGGACAATCCTCCTCAGAGTGAGAGATGCCAAACTCAGCTGGGATTGCTGAAAGTGCGGGGGAAAGCATTCTCTGCTTTAGACTGTCCTTTAGGTATATTTGTACTTTCCTTTTAGAAGTCTCTCTAATTCCAGAACAAATCATTAATTTCTTTCAATTTCATTAGAGACTATTGCATCGTATTAATGAAGCTATTTTCTTTAAATAAAGAAAAAAATACATTTTTTTCAAGAAGGACTGAGGAAAAGGGTTTAAAAAAAACAGCTGTACCCCACTGGCTGCTCTGAAAAGCCATCTTTGCATTGTTCCTGTGGCTCCCTCTCCGCTCGCTGCAACCACCTCCGCCGCGCGCCTCCTCCACCGCCGCGGACTCTCGCTTTTTAAAAAAAAAATCCGCTGCATAGGATCACCGGCGTGCCCCACCATGTCAGACACGGCCGTGGACACCAGCTCCGAGATCACCACCAAGGACTTAAAGGAGAAGAAGGAAGTTGTGGAGGAGGCAGAGAATGGAAGAGATGCACCTGCGAATGGGAACGCTAATGAGGAAAATGGGGAGCAGGAGGCTGACAATGAGGTAGATGAAGAAGAGGAAGAAGGAGGGGAGGAGGAGGAGGAGGA